CCAGCATGGCTAAGGTGGGTTTGCCAGCATTTTGGCACATGTGTCTGTTGATGGATTATTCCCTAAATTGCATTGTGTTTGGACGCTCTGTCAGACAGTTGGAACTAGAGGCCGGGAGTGGCTAAGCTTCCCTTCCAGAAATCCCTTGCCTAGGGATCTCCCCAGCCCGTTCTGGTGGAGGTTGAAAAAACGTTGCAGGGTGGTGTAACACTTGAAAGATTGGTGTATCATGGGGTTGTGCATGTTGTGGTATCTGCTGCACAAACTGGTGAATCGACACTGCATAGTGTCTGCTGCATGTGTGGCGCCACAACCATTGTTTCTGTGGTTTTCTGCACTGTTTTTCATGGCATAAGAGTCAATCATGGAAAGACACATCTTCCCAGTCAGGATAAATGCGATTTTCATCAGTGTATCATGGGGTTATGCATGTTGTGGTATCTGCTGCACAAACTGGTGAATCGACACTGCATAGCGTCTGCAGCATGTGTGGCGCCACAACCATTGTTTCTGTGGTTTTCTGCACTGTTTTTCATTGCATAAGAGTCGACCATGGAAAGACGCATCTTCCCAGTCAGGATAAATGCGATTTTCATCAGGGCACAACCTGGAAGATAAAACGTGGGGTTGGTAACAACGCAAGCTGAAGCTGGTGCAACTGTTGTGCTCGATGGGGCAGGCCATGGCACCTGGAGGGTTCTTTGTGCAAGACAGTAGCTTCATGATGAGTGGGATGCCCACACAGCAAGGCGTGTTGCAGACAGTGGCGCAGCAACAGCCAAGCAGTTCATCGACTGCAGTGTCAATGCCAATGTCAGGGTGCGTGCATGGAGCTCTTTGCAGTGCCACTATGCATATTTTGAACCACTTCAACATTGCATTGCTTCAGCAAAATGAAATAATTTTTATACCATTGCTGTCCAAGCATTCTATTCCAGGGACACAAATGGCTCCCCAAGAGCAAATGGTTGACACACACATTGTGTGTGTCCCACAAAATGACCTCGACAGGCAAGATGGCAACAGTACACAGCCAGAGTGCTTACCTCTCGTTTTTAGATTTGGCGATCATAGTCTTGCGATCTGTCCCATGGGCTCCATCCCCTTGCAGTCTCTGCTGAGGCAGCACAAGGCCCACGCCTTCTATGTGGAATGTCGTAGCACCTGAGTTGTTGAATGTGACTTTCATTTGGCATAAGAACTGTAGAGTAGAAAACAGTTTTTGCTGCAGGCTGCCTTCAATACTGCAGCATACGTTCCTCTCGCAGCCCATGTCATCGACACCATCATCAGGTGTCTTCCCCATGCCCCCACCTGGCACAGCACCAACAGGAGACGAGTCCCCCTCTCGGGTGCTCCGCAAGTCGCAGAGCACACCTGTGCTCTCCAGCCTGAATGCTGCTGTCGCTGCTGCCGGGGCTGAGGCATCTGGTGATGCACAGAAGATAGGGCGTCTCACAGTGGAGGAGCGGCGGCGGAAAGTGCTTAGGTACAGGCAGAAGCGGCATGAGAGGAAGTTTGAGAAGAGGGTGACCTACCAGGTGTGTGAGGCAGTGTCTTGCTGTATTCGCAAACGACACACATGCAATACATGGAGCATGTTTCGTTGATCAGATCAGTTATTTCATCCTTTATGTACATGCTGCAAACCACATTGCATTGAAGGTCTTTGAAGGTGATGTTGTCACCATCAAGCTTGCCACAAGCATCATGACCCAACACTTCACAGTGTAGCACAACTGGTTTCTCGATTTTTCAGACTCTGTTTGCGCAATAGTTACAAGTCGATGCTCTGCTTTCAATACAGTTGTCCACAATTTGCATCTGCCTTTCACAGTCCTTTTTTGGAATGTGTATGCTGATGCTCTCATTCTGAGTGCAACCACCTGCTGCTCATTACTTGTGCAGCGCCTTGGCTGCCGCAACCCAGCATTCATTCAGCACGTTAGTGCAGCACCTGTTTCTGTCAACCGTGCCTTCGTCATGTGCTTGTTGCTGTGCACAGTGCCGCAAGACGCTTGCAGACAGCCGGCCACGGGTGCGCGGCCGTTTTGCACGAAATGATGACTCTAATGCTGTGATGCCGCACCAAACCAAGAAGGCTCTTGCCACAGTGAAGAGCGGCGAGGGGGGGGGAGGGCTGGACGAGATCATGGACATCCAAATGGATTGCCAGCGCGAGGTGCTTGCATGTTCATGTTGTGTCTCCTCCTGTCTGGCTGCAAATGATGCTGAAAGGAAAAGATGGTTCTTTTGCCCAACAGGCTTTGAGTCTACGATGAGGTATCACTTTAGCCAGGCTTTTGCATGTGGCCTTTGCATAGTTTTGCGTTTCTGGTTGTATTGCTTCACAGATAATACATGGTGTTGTAGCATACTTCCTCTGTCCCATAGCAGATGCCCTCTGTCTGGAATCGTGGCATGCTTATATCTTACAAGGATCAGGACAAATGTTCGAATAGACACCTCATTTGGAAAGACCAGGTGCCAAATCCCCAGTGACATTTCAAATCTGGAGAAGAATCTTTCTCTACCCCTGTTCCACATCAGCCAAAAGGCCCTTATTTGCGTAAAGAGTGGACGATCAGACGATGGTTAATAATCAAGCTTTTCAGAGCCCATTTCACATTCCTGTGACTCACAAGAATGAGTGCGCCACTTGTCAGACGAAGTGGCGTTGCAAGCTATTGAAACGTGGCCGTGGACCGCTGGCTGGATGATAACACGGCTCACCACTGCTCTTCTGGGCTTGCAGGGTTAGCCCACAAAATTGGCCCTTTTTGTAGCCAGAGTGGAAACACACTCAAGTTTTCGCTCTATTGAATAGGATTCACTTCTGTACACCATCCATTACAATAACAGCTACAAATGTGCAGAACTGTGAATTTCAGTTCAGGTTTTGATGTAAAACTAGATGTGTGCTGTCATAAGGGACGTTGCTGTGGGACAGAGGACGCAGTATATTATGCAGCAGTACTAAGCAATGGATATACTTGATGTACTTTGTCATGCAGCTTACTGTATTGCGCACAAAGTTTGGTGGTGTCTCTTTTCTTCCAGTTCTCAATCAGTTCCAGTCAGTATTGTCAATTTGGTCTCTTCCACCTTTTCCTTCCGGTGTGGCGCCCATGCTGACATCCTGGTTGTGACTCAGGCAGGGTTTGGGGATGAGGCAGGTGACCCCCCCTGCATTCCTTGACTGCTGGAGAGCGTGTTAGTCATGAGCTCTGACAAGAGCAGTGCAGTGGACATGGATTGGACCCACCTCAAAGTGCTGTCTTGGACTGAAGGACAGACGGGTAGGTAGGCAAGCAGGACAGGGATGATCGCATGGGCAGCCACATGCAGGTGAACATCAACATGGCCAGCGTCCTGAGCTGTGGCACATGCCCCCAGCAGTGAGTTCAGATTACACAACGAGTCAAAGTCGAATAGATTGAATTCAGGCATGGGGTTGAAAGCATTGCCAAACATTGCCAACGTTGCCAGCTGGTACATCGGAGCTCTTGCGCGCTGCTGCCAAGGTGGCGGCCTGATTTGATTCCGCTCTAGTTTGCGTGTGCTGTGCTTTGATGGAGTCGCTGATCTGGTGGTGGATTGTCTCTTTGGTGGATGTTAGGCTTGGCAGGGTTGATGCTTGTCTTGGAGTTCAGAATTCTTCACCAGCAGCGGTCTGTTCATGCAGCACGGATGGCTGCCTAATAGGTTGAACAGCCGTGGATTTCCAGTTTTTTTAAGGGACCGGGAAGGGAGGACACATCTCCTGTGGGCGTTGGTGTGCATGATGGCTGTCGCACACTGTTGGTCAAAGTTTGCGGGCAGAATCACAGTTTGCTTTGTTGAAAGGATAACGTGACCGAGGGCACCGGGGCAGACGTCCTTGGCCGGGGTCAGTGTCCTGCCCGTTCACGGGCGTGTGTTGTCAGGTGGACTCCCTTCGCTTGCCGCGCCCGAGGGGGCGGTGCGCGGGGCTTTGTCAGATTGCTTAGCCGGAGATTTTGTGGCCGGCGGGCCCCGGGAAAACGGTTTTGAAATGGTGACTCACGGCCCGGGGACCAGATTGTTATTCGTTTATTCAAATAATACCTCGAGGCCGTGGGCCACCCGGGCAAGATAATTTTGAGGACGCCATGGGCCCAAGTGTCCTGGCAGGGTGTCTGGGTGCGTGCAGAGTGGGTGTGTCCGCAATCGCGTGCTGGGCTGGAGTGGCTCGGGAATAATTGTTCGGTGGGCGTCTGCTGGATGATTTGCTCCCGGCCGCGCTTGGCCGTGCCGTGCGCTGGCAGGGAGGCTCGGTGTGCTGTCCGGAATTGACGCGTTGACATGACGAGATTTTGTGTGGGGCGGCGCGACCGACCGGGTGAGTGGGTTGGCTAGTTTGATAGAGTCACAGCATCGCGCAGTTTTCCTGGCCCAGGAGCAGTCTTCCCAGGGTCAGGCGCGGGTGCCCGCGGGCGTTTGCAAGGGGCAAGCTGTTGAGTCATGATAGAAAGCGGCACGTGGGGGAGGGGGAGGGGTTGTTATTGAACGTTCTCAGGGTGCCGGGTGCCTCGCCTTCAGGCTCAGCAAGGGAGGCGCTCGAACAACGAATAGGTCTGTTTCTCTGTCCTTTTCTCTTCAAGTGGATGATGGGGAGGATTCTCCTCTTGTAGAAGATGGGGAGCGCAAAGGAGGGGCTGGTGGCCTGCCGGTCCCTTCTGCCTCGTTTTTGGTGATTGTGCGCCCAACGTCGCAACGTACTGTATTTATGTTGATGGGCGTTTTGACATCCGTGCCTGGATGCACTGTACCTGTACAAATATGTATCATATGCTGTATCTGTATTGATATGCCCTGCCCCATCGAGTTGCGTGGTTGCCACTCGCAATGCACCTAAATAAGCACTCATGCCTACTCCACATATACTGACTGCACTTCTGGACAGACAATTGACTTGAGTAGACACATTACAATTGTTGTTTTACAATTTGCCCCAACATACAAAGATGCATGGTCGTATGTTCATGAACCTGTGAATAGCCTCCTCAGCCTTCCCAGCACTGTTTCCTTTGGGGCCACAGGAATATTGTTCTGCCCCAAGTTAGGATTGGAACGACTGGAGGAAGTTCCCACGTCGAAGCGCCTCATGCAGTCGACCATAATCTGGTGATCTTTTTCTTCAGCCTTGTTGAGTGCTATTTCCCTTGCCTACAGAGAAAGAAGAATGCCAGCATTGAAACAATGCCAAATTGCAGTACGTTTCTTCAAATGCAAATTAGCAGGATTTTGTGAATTGCTAACCTGTGGAATGACTGCTTGCTGTAGTTGTAACTGTTACAACTCCAGCAAGCAGTCATTCCAGGCTTATGTCTTGTCTGAATTCCAGTCCTTGCCATTTGTCTCGATTTCTGTCTTTTCACTTTTGTCATACAGGCAGAGTCCCACAGTTTGCACTTGGAGTACACTGCTAGGAAGTTGGACATCAATTAGCCTGACGATATTAATACTATGCAGCAGGAAAAATCCAGCCACATACAAAATGCATGTGCATCGATCGACTCCGATGCGGTGGCCAGCATTGCACGAAGCAACGCAACACACCTTTGCACTTCACAGCCCCATTGGACGCTAGAGTTCAGGCTAGCCTACTTTGGGCCGCGTCTAGCCACATGCACATGCGGTGCGCCGCTCAGCAAATGGATATTTGTCATGAGTAATTGCGGGACCCCTCCTTTTCTCTCCCTTAGAGGCTTCCATTTGTTAGCTGCGGAAAAAGTGACCGACAGCCAACATTCCATTAAATCATGGAATCCGGAGGCCAGGTGCTATGTGGCATTGAAAATTCATGGGGCACAGCCATCGAATGCAATGGCAAGGATCGGTCAGTTCTTTGGAGTATCAGCGGCGTTTCCGTATCAACAACGGACGTCAAAATCAAGTCAATGACAACTCAAGCAACAAGGGAAACTCAGCAACAGCCTAGCCGCTGAGGGTCGGACGGCGCTCCCCATGAGATATAGTAGCATTCTCGCAGGCACCACGCGGGTGTGCTGCCAGAGTTGGTGCTTCCAAGAGCGTCCTGGCAGCACCCCTTTCTACCGAGGCGGGCGTCTCTAGGTTCATATGCTTCCATATGGAAGCACCCAAACACGTGGGCAACGCGGGCCGGCCGGCCTGGCGGTGCCTTTTCCAGCCACAGCCAAGGCACAAAGGGCGCCTTGGAGACGTTGAGAGGCCCTTGGCGGTGGGGGAGGTGCCAAGGGACTTTCAGTCCCTGCAATAGGCGCAGAGTCCATTGTTCTAGAGCAATGACTGAAACAAGGGGCTAGAAGTATACCAACTCCCAGTTTGGCCATTTGGCCGCCTGCCCTGCTGGGCCCACGCTTGTGTGCGTCCCCAAATCAGACGGCATTGCACATCCTTGCTTGCCGAACTGAGCCACGTAGGCGCCGATCGGGGAGATGAAAGGGGGTGGGCGAGTGGGGAGGGCGCCATCATCATCTACAGGGTAGCGTCGGGTAGTAAGAACGCCGGAAATGTAGCGTTGCACACCCTGACATACTGGGAGGGCGTTTGCAGTACTGCAGTACACTGAAAGGCCAAACGCGGACAGACAGCAGGATCTTGTCTGACGCGAGGGATGCAACCACAAAGAAGGCAGCGGGAATGGTGTGCAGAGCCGTTTTGCTTGCACGCCCGGCCGCGTGAGGCTGAAAACAACATGGCAAAAGGGTCACGACCCCTGGCGGTGTAGCGCCATGAGTTGGAGTGGGAGTTCGCGCAGGCAGGATGTTGGTTGATGGAGTGGCGCATTGGAAGACTGCATAATGGGCACCCAGACTGGAAGGTCGAGTGGTTCATCAGGCGGTTTAAGACTGCTGCTGACCACCTGACTGACTTCCCTCCTCTATCCGAGTGCGTCGAACCTTGCCGGGCCATTCTCAAATGAGATAGGGAGGTGCAAGAGGAACACGACGGTGGAGTCGATGTGGCAGTTTAGATTGAGCAGACTCAAGTGGGGCAGCTGGACGAGGGGCTCCACACAGAAGCAAATGACAGGTTAGCACAGGCCACAACGCGCCGTTAGAGGTAATAAGAGGCTGGGCAGATGGTTTTCAGTGCGCCCATCTGTGAACTGTAGAAGGCCATCTCGGCCTAGCTCACTGCAAAAGGCACTGCGCCACACCATTTTTTGGTTCCCCGGGAAACTGAGGCTCAAGCGAAGGTTCAGTGGGGAGTGTGGTTTGAGGTGCCACGGCAAACTGGAGTAGCGTGGCCTATGGAGGGCGGAGGTAGGAGCTATGGATAGCCCTAGGTACGGTGGGATGATGAGCGTGCTGACCACGTGGAGTGAACGGGCGCCAGGCTGGTTCACGGCGAGGTTGCCATAGGGCCTTTGGACAAAGAGGTAGCTCGGAGTCAGAGTATGAGCTGGTGGACCGTGGATCAGAGTCAGGAAGTTAGTGCCGGGTTACTGGTAGAAGTTCCCGGTGTGAAGTGGTAGCCAGCACCGGTGTAGTTAGACTCAGTGGAACACCGGGGCTGCAGGAGCTTTGTGCGTGTTTGCAGCGGAGTTCCAGGTGTAGGACACAGGTGGAGGTTCGATGTGAGTGAGAGGGAGTGTGGCAAGACCAGTCACCTACTACCAACCCCGCTCTGTCCTGGCGCTGTTTTGCAATATCGATATACAATGCAACAACTGCTCATCTCATAAAATTCATAATCAGGTTTTTCCAATCTCTGCTGGATCTGCACTTGTGTTTGTCTTTCAAAGAGCAATAAAAACAAATGTAACCTGTGTCTTAGTGTGGCAGGTCATGAGCGTCTGCTCCAACTCCCTTTGCCGCCTGTCAGCCAGGAGTATCCAGCATCCCTCCAGCCTGATAAGTCAAATCTGTATGTATCTATGAACCAGTTGTCCAACTGAGGAATAACCAAGTCATCCACTTTTTTTACTCCTCAGTCATGTCCCTCTAGGTTCCCACCTCTCGTTGGGACTGCCGTGTACCTTAGTCATTCCAACAATGTCACCACCATGACAAAGTATCCTAATGAAAGACCTCTCAACTCCGCACTGCACTGATCTGTCACCATTTATAGGGCATCTCAATCCAATCACCAATGCAGAGCAATCTGGCATATATCCATGCACAGCTGTCCCCCTGACTAGGGCTCAATACCATGTGCTTATTCGTGAATGGAAGAGACTACTTGCAAGCA